CATCCTAAAGTAAATGTCAATGCATAAGGATGTAATTAATTTGAAAACCGAAAAAAACTTCAAAGAGAACGAATTATCAATTGTAATCTTGATGATTTTAAAATTATTTAACCAAACATTCAAAAAGAAACAAAATGATTATTTTATTATTAAATTGTTGCAATGTAGCAGAGTTAATGATTGATTCCGCATACATCTTGTTGCTAGTGTTGGCAACAATGTTTAGCAAAATAAACATTCAATAAAAACAATTCTTAATGTGATTTTCTTGTTAACGAATTATAAAAGTTCCTCAATGAAAATGTATTCACATTGAAATGTTCAATTATAATAACAAATAACAATTCGATTGTGTAATCTTGCTAACTTTCCTTTAAATTATCGCTAAAAAAAAAAAAAAAAAAAAAAAAATTAAGGTGATTTTTTTACATAATTACTTTACGAAACAAATTTCATAACTTGATTTTCGGTCCTCTGACATAAAATTAATTTTTTCGCAATCTGCTTGATTAAGAGGAGACAGCCAGAATAATGATTAATTATTCAAGAAATTTGACAGACCTCTGAATCGTCGATGGCAAACGTTACATGTATACGTGCGACATACATGGATTAACCAAACATTTGAATCACTACTTAAAAAAAAAGAGGGAGAAAACATGACACGAACACCAAACACCAACGACAATTTATATAAAAGAAAGAAATACGAAGTTAATAGTTATCGTAATAAAAAGTATAATCCCTCCTCCAAGTCACCCACAAAACACTCATTCAATCAAACGAACGTGAAAAAAAAACCATAAACCTTTGTTTGATTGTTTGTACAGAGTTAACAACGAAGACGAGGAGGAGGAGGAGGAGGAGGAGGAGGAGGAGGAGGAGGAGGATGAGGAGGAGGAGGAGGACGAGGAAGAGGAGAGAATGAGGATGACGAGGTAGACGAGATCAAATTGGAACTGGAAGAATTGAATCAGCTGGAAGCCTTCGATAACAATACGATGTCGGCAGTGACAACGGTTGCAACGACCTTTCGAAGTAGATGCTCATCGTCCTCGTCAACGGCCATCGTCGGCCTCAAAAGCACTAATCATCAAGCTGTTGACGAAGACATGGAAAACAACGAAAACCAGGGCCACGATGATATGGCGTGTAGTGCAACATCAGCAGTGGAGCCCATTCGCAGCATCCTCGTGCGCATGGACTCGGGCATCTTAAAACGTCTCTTTCAGTGCAGCCAATGCGATCAGATATTCGCGAGCGTGAAACACTGCGTGCGCCACATGTCCGTCGGGCATCCGCGTAGCCGAAAGTACCGAGTCGCATATCGCTGCAAAACCTGCCAGAAGCTGTTTCGCACCAAGTACGGCTGCGAGAACCACATCCAAGGCAAGCACAAGAACCGCACGTTCCAGTGCCGCTTCTGCGGCTTTAAAACCGCGAGTGTGACCTACATCAAGAAACACGAGCGCAACCACATCGACGACTACGAGATCAGGTGCGACATTTGCGGCAAGGGCTTCGCCTCGAAAACCGTGCTCGTGAGACACATGATAAGCCACACGGGCGAGAAGCCCTTCGTCTGTGAGGTCTGTAACGCGAGCTACGCGGACAAACGGAGCTTGCAGCTACACGCAACTGTTCACGATCCCCAAGGCAGACCCAAGAAGTACACCTGCGACGTGTGCGACTACTCGAGCTTTTGGAAAAATGCCGTTAAGACGCACATGAAAGTGCACACCGGTGCCAAAGTCATATGTGACGAGTGCGGCCAAGCCGTGGCGAGCAACTATTACTTAAAGATACACAAGAGAATTCATAGCGACGAGAAGCCGTTTACATGTGACGTCTGCTCCAAGGGGTTCAGGCAGATGAAGAATTTGGTCGTTCACCAAAGAACGCATACCAAGATCAAGCCGTACAAGTGCCGGAACTGCGACAAAAGCTTCTCACAAAATGTTTGGTTGAAAAAACACAAGTGCAATCCAACGTAGCTATTATAGGGACCAGCTTGCGACGGTTTGGCGTCCTTTCCTAAGCAAAATTCTCTCTTATCGCGTGATAATCTTGCGATCAATGAACTGTCGGGAATCGGGAATGTCGGCATCACTACTTTATAAAATAATCTCAATTACGAACCAACTATTTTGTACATTCTCGAGATAAGGAATCATAAATATATCGATTGTGCATTTCTATGTATAATAGGCATATACTTAAAAATATAAATTTAAAATTCTATTCCGTTAGATATTTGTAAATAATTATTACGGGTTTCGTAATCTTCGATATTATTATTATTATTATTATTATTATTATTATTATTATTATTATTATTATTAATCGAATATCTAATGTAAAGTAAACGTTTGTACAAAGAAAGTCGATGTAGAAAGTCGATAATGGTTATTCATAAAATATCTTAAAAATCTGCAATTAAATTTACCTTTACTTTTACTTTTTTTCTTTTTTCTTTTATTTTTTACAATATAAGATTATAATATTAGCATGCTTGAAATATATTTGAAAGAGGAAAGGTTTTTACTATTTTCAGTCAATGAATAATGTCAAATAGTTTCCGATATGTATGCATCCATATTTAATATTTTCAAATATTTAATTCTTAAGAACATTAATTGAATCTATTTTATGTTTATTATGCTTGTGACAATTTCAATTTCAATTCGGTTAAATTTCAAATTGTACATGTATAACAATTGAATATTTCATTTCTGTGTTAAACAAGATTATTACTAGCTTTTTATTAGAATTTCTTAAAAACGGAAAATATATTTTTACAACGATTGATTAATTCGTTGGAATACAATAATTGTTACAATCAATTTAGTTATTAATGTACTTGTTAATCTCAATGTCTTATTAACGAATCAAATAACATCGATCAATTAAATTATAATCTGATTTTATGCATTACGGTCATATGCACAGTGGCAAATTGAAAAAAATAATTTCTTATTATTGTTGAATGTAAACGCTACACAATTACTTTTAAATGGATTTTATACGAAAACTACAAGACTGACTTAACATAAAAACGATGAAATTTTTCTAATAAATAGAAGTATATTTATTATAAAGATAAGAAATAAAATAAAATTATTGTTGTTGAAGAGGTATTTTATTTGACACTTCTCTGAATGTTTTGTTCTTAAATTATGTCTTATGTAGAGTAAGATAGTAATTAAAAGCTGCAGTTGGATTATTTCCTATATATATCAGTTCTTGGAGATAAAGCCCCCAAGAAATATGAAATCTTAATCGATTTCTGGCTTTAATTGAAGAGCATAAATTTAAAATTATCATTGATGAGTGTGCAAAGTTAACAACAATTACTTCAAAAGGATTATATTTTATTTGATATCACAGGTAAGGAAATGTTTTATGTAGGAGAACACGTATTATAGAAATATATGCAGAAAAGTTATTTTTGTTTTTTGCATATAAAATATTATAAATTTTTGGGTTTTTTCTTTGGTTTTTTAATCTCTTTTTTTCTTTTTTTTTCCTTTTTTTTTCTTTTTTCTTTTTTTAATATTTAGAATATATATCAATTGTGATAGATTTGTATAATAATTGCTTGATTGAGAAACATACTTTAAAAGTTTGAAATTACAATCGCACTTAACCAAAGTTTATTATTATATAAGGTACTTTAATTCTTAAGTTTTAATCGTGAAATTTGTTTACAAAAAGAATTTATTTCGTTTTATATTAATGTAATGGATTACAATTTTTTCTTTGAATTGAACGATAAATGGCTTGTTGAAAATCATTTCACGTATCATGAAATTAATAATATTCATCTGCATATGAAGTATCGTGAGTAAGTAACCGCTTAAACATTTAAAATAAAACTGAGCATTAATTTAGAAAGAAAGTAATGTCAATAAGCACTTATCAGTTCTAATATTTAAGTCCTCAGTTTTTGATTAAACGTTAATCGTACTTGCATCCAAAACCTCTCTTTAAAATCCTTGGAATACCTTGATTGAATAATAATCCCTTTCTCATTATTATTTTCAGAATAAAGAGAACGAGATCGAGAGTACCAGCGATCCTGCAGCGAAAAAGAAAAATTGAAGCTGCAGAATATGACATTGATCAATCAGAAGCCAAAGTACTCGCATCGTCCATGATCGGACAGTGCAAGCTACAATCAGTTTTGAAAGGCATGGATCGCATAATCTTGGTGAAGCCCTACGTGCAAGCCTCCAATACACAAGCCCCAATTACCTCGATAATGCCTTCGAGTAGCGATGAAGAAGCGGACGAGACGTCGGAGGCGCAGGAGACCGAGGAACACACGACTTTTCAGTGCGATTCTTGCGACGAATCATTCGATGATCGTTCCGCCCTAATAATCCATAAGACGGAAAAGTCAATAGTACGTACACGAGCGGCGTTGCGCGAACCAATGGTGAAATACGACTGCGACATGTGTAAGCGACTCTTCGTTTCCAAGGGTATGCTTGCTCGCCACTACAAGAACTGCGGTGTCCTCGAATTTGGCAGTCTACCAACTAATTACCGGCGCCGTCGTCCGCGAAACCCCGTGCGGTCCAAGAGGAACAGGAAAGAAGGTCCAGCCGCTTGCCAGAAATGCAACAAAGTATTCAAAAAGGATAAGTACCTTAAGGTCCATATGACAACTGCTCACGGTGAGCATATTGTTTGTCAGCTATGCGAAGAGCGACTTGACACGATTGTACTATTGAAAGCGCACATGCGCGATCAGCACAGCGGCGACTTCACCGAATACTGCAAGATCTGCAACAAGGGTTTCTACCTACGTCAGTCCCTTAAAGTGCATCTGGCAGCTCATACGCGTGACAATAAGCCCTGCGTATGTGACATTTGTCAAAAAAGCTTCCGACACGACGTGTACTTGCGCAAGCATGTGCAGTTCGTACATGTCGAGCTGA